ACTTCGGGCTCTTTAATTTGATGAAAACATCCTACTAACTAGCAGTGCTATTGAATTTCAGCCATTCGACATGCATTGCTAACAAATAGTATTGCTTTATTTTATGTACTATTTGGTCTACTACTAAGATTTTCTCAGTTCTTACTTCATTTTTTTTGTTTGTTTGTTAGTTAGATTTGTTTTGACACTCACAAATGATTTGCTATTAGAAAAGGAAAAAGAAGCATTCACATAAGAAAAACTTATTTGTACCTAATATCTGTATCAACCAATTATATGCAAGGCGTAGTGTTAGCAATAAATTTTGTGTCTGAGAATTAATCAAAGGCGAGAAAATAGTGATAAATTTCAATATTTTGATTAGAAAAATATGGTGGGTTACAAACTCTAAAATATCTCAAATGTAAAAGAGATATAGTTCTCTAAACTTTTTCCTCATGAACGTTGCTTCTCGAGAACTTGATATTGAACTTAACGGACCTTGGATTTGATTCATGAACTTTTTCTTAAATTTGTTGCAACTCATGAACAATTTGATGATACGTCACGAACTAGGGCTTAACATTCAACTATTGTGCACGAACGATTGGAAATCGCCAGCTTGAAATCTTAGCTTGACCTCATCCGATTTGATCACTGACAAAGATTTAGAAGAAGAGTTGGAATGCTTTCTTTAAAGCTTCTCTAGCTTTCCTTCTGCTTGCTTAATGTACATTGTATCTCCTTTTGACTTGTGGGAATTTCCTATTTATAATTGTGGAATAGAAGAGTAGTGATAAGCATTTGTTTTGATTTGATTGGTTTGTTTGAATTTGAACCAATCCCATGTATTTACACTTGGCATGCTTGGATTGGTCAGTCGACTTGACTTGGAATACCACGTGGCTCTACATATGGCAAGATTCTATTGACTACGTCATTTGATTTGCCGCCATAGAGTTTGACATGTGGCATTAGTCTGAGCTTTAAGTTAAGATGAACTAATACCCACTTGGTCCATGAGCTAATGAAATGAACTAATATATTGGAGTCCAACTAAATGGACTTGCCCAAATAAAATTAGTCTTTCATTTAAGAGATTTTCTCCAACATATAAATTAGAAATTTATTTATCCCCTTTAACTAAAGTTTCCTATTTATTAAAACTAACCTTTTTAAAAAAATTGTATGTACTCCTCCTTAAAGGCTCCCAAAAACCATAGTCTTAATTAGGGAAAAAAAATAGGAAGAAGCTGCCTGTTTGGGGACGAAAGAAGAGGGTTTTGAAATTGAGAAGAAGTTGGGAAGCAAGATTACAAAGGGAGTAATAGACGCGGGGAAGGGGGTTGAGATGCCTAAAATTAAGAGATCCTAATTTATCATAATTTTGTTATATAATTAGTAAATTGTATACTAATAGTAATTAAGTTAAAACCTTAGTGAGGGTAAAGAGGTCTATAATATAGCTTAGCTAGGTAAGCTCTCTTACTTTTATCGAAATTGGACTCAAATAATTAACCTTAATTTGGATAGTATTTCTAATTAAAGAATTTACTCAAATTTAATATTAACTTTAATCCCATAAAAATAATTACGTCTACACATATTAACACGTTATCGTCCTTGGTGATTGCAGCAAAAAGCTGATACATGACCCACGAGACATAGAAGAAAAACTTAGACAATATTTTTTCTTTCTTTGTGACTTGTAAATATTAGAGCCATCTCGTTGGCTACGTGGTTATTCGAAATAAAAATTTACTCGCATGTTACATGAATTCAATAAATGTAGGTATGTGGTTTAATACACACATTTATCAACTAGAATATAACCAAGAACAATTCCTTAGAAGCAAACACTCTCTCCAACGGCTAACCCAACGACTATATTGTCCAGCGCGTCTCTTCACGCTCCACCAGATGGAGCCGCCGGAAGGCCTGCTTCTGGCGCGTAAGGAGAAGCAAAACATCCCTCTTGAGGGAGCGACACTACCCTCTGAAGCAATTGAAAAGAAAATCTCTTATGCGATATCGGTCACGGCTCTGTCATCCTCTAATTTGAACCAAATACGCCATAAAAGGGAGAAGGTAATTGCAAAGCATACAACTCACAATGAAATGCCAGCTGTGATATTCAAGGCTAAAGATTATTATGGCATAATGGCAGAAGAATGTAAGTATACTATTGTTGGTAGATTTCTGAAACCCCGCCCCAAAATTGATAGAATTAGTTCAAGGTTTAAGGAGTTGATAACGCTGAAAGGATCTGCCAGAATTGGTATCTATGACAATTACAATGTCTTCATCGATTTATTTAATGAGGAAGATTGGCAAACGGTATGGTTTAAAAGGGTAATTGAAATTGATGGTCGGCAAATGTGGTTACAAAAATGGTCCCCTGATTTTAAGCCTGAGGAAGACCTTCTTGTTGCCCCAGTATGGGTTCTACTGCCGGGATTGCTATTTCACATGCACACATGGCATTATGTTAAATAAATTCTTAGCTCTGTTGGAACCCTTTTGGTTCTAGATGCGGCAACTTATGAAAGAACTAGACCAAGTATGGCCAAGATTAGGGTGGAGGTTAATCTTCTTAAACCTCTTCCGGAAAGTGCATTCATAGGCCAAGAATATGAGGACTCACCACTAGATGGTTACACTCAAAAATTGGAATATGAGGGCATACCTAAGTATTATAAGCATTGTAGGAAATTGGGGCACAACGTGATTGAATGTAGGGCCTTAGAGAAGAAGATTGCAACTAATGTCGAGGAGGTACAAGACAAAAACAAGGAGAAACTAACTAAGAACAAAGTAGCAGGTAAAGAATAAGATCACAACAGTAATATAGAGAAAGATGCGACAGAAAATATGAAGAATCAGGAATTATTAGAGGGAGAAACAAAAACTCAAAGTCTCAATGCTGAAAATATGAAACAGAGGACTGACAGGCCTTTGTTACAACAGAATATTGATACAGAAACAAGAAGGAAGAAGAAAAAGAATAAGAAAGCAAAGAAAATGCCAAAAAAGAAAAGTAGTGTCAAATTCAAACCTGCTATCCGAGATAAGATCACTAAGAAGCACTATCAAGTTAAGCTCTCATCAGTTTTACAATAATTAGCAGCCTCGATGATTGAAGGTAATCAGCAGGAGGATACTCTTAATCAAGATCGAGTAGCAGAAGGTGAGCCTACAGTTACTACTAATCAACATCAGGAAATAGGAGAAATCAAAGTAGATGGTACAGGGAAGGAGAAAAAGAGCAATGATAAAGAAAGTAGTGACCAACAAAAATTGAAAGGAGACAATTGTGAAAATATTGCAATCACAGAGGCTACAACTGAGGATGTCCAGTCCATTAGCTTACCCTCGGAGATCAAAAACCAAAAAGCCATAAATATTTACGTTGATCTTAATTAGGAACACCTGACAAATCAAAGCCAGATGCCAGAATGTTGCAACCAAGAACATATCAACCATGTTGAAGAAGAAGCTACTATGGAATCCAAAACTATGACTGATTGAGATGAGGTTACTTCGCAGAACCTAAATGAAGATGAAGGTTCTTACACTAGAGGAAAAAGCAGAAGCAGAAAGAATGACAAAAAAAATAGTAAACAAAAAGAACTTACAGAGACTACTGAAAATTTTATAGGAAAGAATGACTCTCGTAAATCTCCAATGGCCAGAGGAAGAAGCAGAAACAAAAAAGTTGGAAGACAAAACAAAGACAACACTTCTACTTCCTGCAAAGGAAGAGGAAACAAACAACACACCTCCCCCTCAACGCAATGATTAGTATAATATTTTGGAATATAAGAAGGGTGAGGTCAAAGAAGGCTATTCACAGACTTAAACTTCTTATCAACATCAACAAAGTAGTTTTTGTGGCTATTTTCGAACCCTTTGTGGATATGAGTAAGATAGATGGGTACAAAAGGTTCTTAGGATTTCAACACTGTTAGGCTAATGTCACTGGTAAGATCTAGTGCTTCTGGAACTACCTGGATCACACTGAGGTATTAGCAAATAATGAACAACAAATTACTCTCAAAATGAAAGATAATGTTGCAGATACATGAACCTTTATCACAGCAGTATATGCCAAAAGTACTACTAGTGAAAGAAGGGATTTGTGGGATAGCATTCATAGCATGAACAACACTATTGATGGCCCATGGTGTATTAGTGGTGACTTCAACATTATCATGGATCTGGCTGAAAAACTAGGGGGTAATCCCCACAGGGCATACAAAAGTTTGGATTTTATTAGCACTATGGAATCCTGTGTCTTAATGGACATTGGCTTCACTGGCCCTAGATACACTTGGTATAACAACAGAAGGCTAGCAAAAGAATTTGGAAGAGACTGGATAGAATAATGATCAATGATCAATGGGCTCAACTCTTCCAAAACAATATGATAAAAAATTGGGTAAGGAATGGTTATGATCATAGACTCCTACTACTTAAATGTCATAATGATCAACAACATCACATTAAATACTTTAGATTCCTCAATTTCTAAACCACTCAACCAGGTTTTCTGGATATGATTCAGGAGATATGGAACACAAATATTGAAGGTAATGCTATGTGGAGGCTTCAAAGTAAGCTGAAACTTCTTAGTAAGCACCTTAGTCAATGGTCGAAGGATAACATTGGGGACATTCACGAACAAGTAAGCTCCTGGGAAGCTAAAGTGTAAATCCTGGAAGAGATTGATATGCAAAACAACAATGAGCAAGGAAGGGAAGATCTAAACATAGGTTATACTGAATATACTAGGTGGTTGGGTATGCAAGAATCTTTGATGAAATAGAAAGCTAGAATTAATTGGTTCAAGGATGGTGACTGCAACACTAGCTATTTTCACAGTATCCTGAGAGACAGGAGAAGAAGACTTAAACTACATAGAATTAAGAATCACCGAGATAGATGGATATAAGTGATAAAAAATTGCTAAGGCTGTTGTCAAGCACTTTAAAAGTTTCTTCAATCTAGACCAGCAGCCTACTATGAGCAATTATATCCTTAATTGCATCCCTAACCTTATTACAGAAGATGATAATAAGATGCTTATTATGATGCCTTTGGAAGAGGAAATCAAAGAGTTTGTCTTCCGTATGAGCATTGATAGCTCTGCTGGACCTGATGGCTTTAATGGAAAACTTTTTCAAGCTACATGGGATATCATCAAGCATGACATCATTGAATTTGTCACTAAATTTTATTCCCACACCTGCATAACTCTCATTCCCAAGGTGGATTCTCCTTCCAGATTTGAAGAGCTTAGACCTATTAGTCTAAGCAATTACACTAGTAAGATCATCTCAAAACTCTTAACCAGATGGTTGAATTCTCTTCTTTCTAAGCTAATCTATTAAAATCAAGGTGGTTTTATCTCTGGAAGACTAATTACGGAAAATGTGATGCTCGCTCAGGAGATCATTCATGATATCTCCAAACCTAACAGGGGAGGGAATATTGTTATGAAACTTGACATGGCTAAAGACTATGATAGGCTTTCCTGGAGCTTCCTTATTGATGTCCTAAACAAATTTGGCTTCTGCAAAGAATGGTCTGATATGATTTGGAGAATGTTCTCGAATGTCTGGTACTCGATTATTATTAATGGAATAAGACATGGCCTCTTTACTTCTTCACAGGGTCTCAAGCAAGGGGATCCTTTATCCCCCTCTCTCTTTATTCTTGTTGCATAAGTATTGACTAGATCTCTAAACAGTCTCATTCATAAGGAGAACTTCACTAGCTTCTCTATGAATAAGAGAGGTCTTCAAATTAATCACCTAGCTTATGCTGACGACATTGTTATATTCTGTGGTGGTAACTCCAAAACTGTCAAGATGGTGATGAAAGAAATCAGAAAGTATGAAAAGGCATCGGATCAGCTTGTCAACAAGGATAAAAGCTTCTTTCTCACTGGCCCTAAAGCTAATGCTCATAGAATCAACAGATTGAGAGATTGCATAGGATTTGTGGACAAGAGTTTCCCTTTCACTTATCTTGGTTGTCCAATTTACATTGGTAGAAAAAAGATATGCTACTTTGATAACATGGTTACTAGAGTTGTTAAGAGATTGAATAGATGGCAAGGTAAAATGTTAACCTATGGTGGCAGAGTGGTTCTCATCAAGAGTGTTTTATAGCCTATGCCTACTTACACTCTTACTACTTTAAATCCTCCCAAAGGAACTTTAAATCTTATTAAAAAATACATGGCTAGGTTCCTTTGGGGAACCACTGGGAAAAAAAGAATTATCACTGGTGCTCCTGAAAAAACTTGGACTTTTCTAAAGATGAAGGCGGCATTGGTATTAAAAGTCTTGAAGATATCTCTAATACTTTAACTATCAAGAGATGGTGGAGGTTTAAAACAAAACCTTCATTATGGGCTGATTTTCTTAGAGCTAAATACTGTCCAAGAAGTCATCCTGTTAAAAAGAAATGGATCTCGGGTAACTCACAAGCTTGGAAGAACTTGCTATTGGCTAGAGACAAAGCTGAAGGCAACATCACTTGGCTTATTAACTCTGGTGATTGCAATTTTTGGTGGGACAACTGGACAATGACAGACCCTCTGGCTTATAGCAATGCTAATATCGTTACCAACATTGGTAATAATACCAATATTTGCGAGTTTATAAGTTATGGTGGCTGGGACATGAATAAGCTGCGCAACATTCTTACAAACCAAATGGTGGAAGTTATTAGCAACATTAACATTGGCCAACCAACTGATGTAGATGATGTTGTATGGAACATAACTGAAGATGGCCAATATTCTAATAAATTTGCCTGGCATACCATTCTAAATTAGAGACCTACTAACATGTTTTTCAGTAAGCTTTGGCATAACTCTATCCCCTTTAAATTCTCATTTCTTACTTGGAGATTGTATTTATGTAAACTCCTTTTTGATGAAGTTCTGGCTAGATTTGGCAACCAAATAACCTCCAGGTGTAGTTGCTGTCAGATGCCTAACAATGATTCTATTCAACACACCTTTGTGGAGGGAGAAGCATCTAGGCATGTATGGAAATACATAGGTGCTCCTTTAGGAATCACTCACCACCAGTGGCCGATCAATAGAGTTATTAAGGAATGGTGGGATACTAATCCAAAAAATGCTATACACAAGCTTCTATTACAGATTGCGGTCATTTGCAGGGAACTTTGGAAAAGCTAGACGGCTTGTAAATATGGGGAGCAAAAATAATTCTACAAAAGTAGGATGAAATTTCAAACCATTTGGCACATTCAAGCAGCCCTTCAAATTACCTATCCCAACTATAATTTAACACGTACATGGCCCAACATTTGTAATATGATTGAAAGACTTCAACATACCGTGAATATCAAGCAAGTCGCCTGGAATAAGCCTATAGAGGGGATGTTCAAACTCAATACAAATGGAAGTTTTATCAGAGAAAATGGAAATGCTGGCATTGGAGGTGTGGTCAGAGACAATGATGGAGAATTCCTGATGGCATTTTCTTTCCCTGTTCAATGTAGCAGTAACAATCAAGCTGAAGCAATGGCGGCCAACTTTGGCATTAAATGGTGCACTCAACATGGGTTAAGCAGGATTCATATTGAATTGGATTCTATGGTTATTGTCAATATGCTTATCAATAGGGGAACCAACAACCTTAAATTAAAGAATATCATCATGGATACTACTCATGCTCTCAGAGACGCTACTGTTCAGATTTCTCATTGCTTCAGAGAAGCAAATCAAGTGGTGGATTTCCTCGCTAAGTTAGCATCTTCTAGTGGAACTGGCACCTTATATCACTCTCTCCAACAGATGCCAAGAGAGGCTAAGGGACTATTTTAACTAGATAGATGGCAACTTCCTTCAATGAGAAGAAGATATGATAAGTGTAATATTTTTTGTAAGCTGATTGTATAGTTCGGATTAGTGAAAGGAACTAGGCTTTCCTTTCTTTCATCAGTTGTAGAGGTAAGGTCCATGTCCCCTCTATCTTGTACTCTTTTGTTTATATATAGACATGGTAGGGGTCTTGCCTAACCCCCACACCAAAGGCTCCAACTTGAAGGTGATGGCTTCAAATTTTTTTAAAAAAATACACACATTTATCAATTAGAGGGGGAGCTCGGGCCCTCGAGAATCCGCGTACCGCCACGGGAGATCATTTCTTGGAGAAAATGTGTCTTTTTACTTTAATTTGTAACTACTAAAAATAAATTATTTAATTTAATGTAAACAGTAAGTGTGAATAAATATTTATCATTATTCGAAGAACTCCGCAAGTCCGAGAAACTCCTATTGGTGACTCAGGATTAATTGCGGTATCAACAAGAATATATTGACTGATTATCTATCAAAAAAAAAACATTGTCATGTTACATTCATCTAATTTTAGATTGCCTCACTGTTTCGAAAGATTTAATTACCTAGAACATATAGGGGACCTTCATATGATAATTCAGAGGTGTTTTCAATGGCAATGGTGATCTCATTTTGTTCATCAAATGTAAGAAGGTAAGTGTTTATTATTCTTCATATAAATAAGAAGTTAAGAAGGGAATATTGAGATTTACCCTCACTTGCGCGTTTGATATTTTTTTGTAGTTATTTGGTTTAATTTATTGAACTAAAAAAATAAAATATGCGGAATATGAAATAAATTATGTGTTTGATTATTCTTAGTTCAGTTTAGTGGAACGTGAGTCTCAAAAATTTTATGTCGTAGGTTCAAATCGCTTGAGAGAGGATACGATTAGCAAAGTTGAAGTCTCTCAATTTCCTAATGAGAAAGAAGGAAAAGTGCTTTTTATATTACCTAAAATTAATATAAAAATTTAATTTTAACGTTACATTTCTCAAAGAATAATTTTGAGAAAGGATAGCCTTTATCATTTAATTATTTATACCAAGATAGCTAATCTAAAATATTATTTCACATTGAATACGTAATTTAAAAACAATACCATAATTATTTATATCTATCTATATTTATATCTATATCTATATCTATCTATCGATATCTATCTATCTATTTATCTATCTATCTATCTATTTATATCTATATTATTATAAAAGTACGAATATTTTATGCTAAATGTTGAACGACTAAATTATCCCCGAAATATTGATTAATTTTTATACCCTTAAATATTTATATAATTTAAGGATATAATTATAAATTACCCAAAAATAAAATTCCTTTCCAATTTAAACTACAAATACGTCATCCCTGCAAAGTTGATATTGGGTACAATTCTATGCGGACTCAATGGACTGCTACTCTCCGCCACTATACTTGGATAGAGGATAGTAGCTCTCTTTTTTTCCGTCAACAATATGCATGGTTCATATATTTCGTTCTCCAATTTGTATGAGATTTAGAATTTTTATATTTTTGTAAATATATGAGATTTTGATTTATTCCATATAAACTAATATTAGCATATAACCAAAAAATAAAAAAAGACAGCGAATCATTCTTCTCCGGTATGTTACAACTAAGCCGATCTAGAATTAATAATTTGAAATATCACATATTTCATTAAATTTTTATATGCAGGTCATTAAGTTATTTTTTCTTATAACTACATCAAATAGAGAACAGAAATGCACAGCGTGTAATGTACTAGATTTATGGACATGCGTTTATTTTCTTTAAGAAAGACAACGAAAATATCATGAAATAATTATTTTTTTACATAAAGTAATAATTTGATAATCGAAAGGGTAAATTGGAATTATCTTTCTAAAACACTGTTTAATTGACATATATTGAGACACGATATAAGAAATGTCCATAATCTAGATTTGGATGTGAAGTATTTTATTTTCATTAATGTAATCCTATAAATAAACCATATGAATATGATGTGCAATACGTTCTAAGAAGATTAGACAATAGTGGACAACTAAACCTCTAGATGAAGCTGAAATTTGTAGGAATAAAGCGCCAAATTAGTAAATTATTTTTAGGATTTAACTATTCATGTAGGATAAAATTATAATCACCATTAGTATTTGAATTCTACTATGAATAAGATAGAGAGAGTTGCCGGGTTTACTTCGAAGACTAAAACTGTAACGACCCGACCGGTCGTTTCGAGTGTTATAGCCCTGATCCCCTATTAACTGCGTCTCTCATATCTATTTCTGCTATTGTGACTTGCTGGGAGATTTCGTTTTAATTTTTGGAGTGTTTTGGGATACTTAGTCTCTAAACGGAAGCTTAAGCCTTGGGATTTGGACTGTAGTCGGAACTGTGAGAAGACGACTCCGGAATGGAGTTCTATCGATTTCGTTAGCTTCGTTAGGTGATTTTAGACTTAGTGGCGTGTGCGGATTGTGTTTTGGAGGTCTGTAGCTCATTTGGGCTTGAAATGACGAAAGTCGAAGTTTTGAAGATTTTGACCGGTAGTGGACTTTTTGATATCGGGGTCGGATTTTGATTCCGAAAGTTGGAGTAGGTCCGTAAGGTTGATTATGACTTGTGTGCAAAATTTGGGGTCAATCGGACGTGGTTTGATAGGTTTCGGTATTGGTTGTCGAATTTGAAAGTTTCAAGTTCTTTAAGTTTGAATCGGAGGATGATTCATGATTTTAGCGCTTTTTGATGTGGTTTAAGGGCTCGACTAAGTTCGTATAGTATTTTAGGACTTGTTGGTATATTTGGTTGAGGTCCCGGGAACCTCGGGTTGATTTCGGATGGTTAACGGACCTTTTGAACTTAAGAGAAGATAGCAGATTTCTAGTGTTTTTGTTGCAAACATTTCTTCATCGTGTTCACGAGAGAGGTCTCGCGATCGCGTAAGGCATCAGAGTAGCCAGTTGAAGTTGTTCTTCGCGTTCGATTATATGGGGACGCGATCGCGTAGGTTGGTCAGGCTGTGCATCGCGAACGTGTGGGCTAGGTCGTGTTCGCGAAGAGGAAGTAAAGCAGTAGTAGAATTCAAGTGTTGTTCTTCGCGAACGCGTGGGGTTGTTCGCGATCGCGTAAGTATGCGAGCCAGTGAATCGCGTCCGCGTTGTGTTTTCCGCGTTCGCGTAGGATAAATTTTGGGGCAGCGAAGTTGTGCTTCGCGATCGCGATTAAGGAATTACTGGGCAGTATTAAACATTTTAAAAAACGAGGGTTTGGCCATTTTTATCAAAACTTGAGTTTGGGAGCTCGAATTTCTCACGACCCAAAATCTCACCCGTCGTGATGGCGCCTATCTCAATACTAGGCAAGCCGAAAATCTCAATAAGCCATAATTTCTCTCAAGATTGAAAATATAATATTTAAATACAATACAAACACTCCCCAAAATCTGGTGTCACTGAGTACATGAGCATCTAATATGAATGCAAGTCTGGAAAATATAGTCTATAATAGTCTGAGACCAAATACAGTGAACAAAGAGATAGAGAAGGAGAGGCAAGGTCTGCGGAACACGGCAGCTACCTCAAAATCTCCTGAAAATCAACCGTGCGAAAGGATCAACACCCGCTATATCCGGGAATACCTGGATCTGCACACGAAGTGCAGGGTATAGTATGAGTACAACCAACTCAGCAAGTAACAATAATAAATAAGGAACTGAAGATAGTAACGAGCTACACAATTATGGTTCATTTCCAGTAATCCCAGCAAAGAATAGACATGCTATCAAATCTGCCAGTTTAATGTCAAATCAATTTTTATACAGTTCATGTTCATGTAATCTGTATATCAACAATCTTTCAGAAATTTCACAACAATGACAGATAGCAACTAAGTGNAGGCAATTCAACAAGTACGCGACCTCTGTGGGTCCCAACAGTACTATCACATAGCCTAAGCATAATTT